GCTGTGATGAGAACTAAGGGTTGGTCAGCTGTGATGAGAACTAAGGGTTGGTGGTCAGTTGGACAAATGAATTAAGAGTTAATGGTCAGATGTGAGAACTAAGGGTTGGTCAGCTGTGAAAAAGGAATACTATTAAGTGGTCAAATGAATGAACTAATGGTTGGTGGTCAGTTGTACAAAAAATTAAGAATAAATGGTCAGATGTTGTGAGAACTAAATGTTTGTGAAGATGAAAATTAGAGTTGATGGTCAGCTATGGTGAGAACTAGATCTGGTAGTCAGTTGGAGATGAGAATTGGCGATGATGAAATTGAATAGCTTTGATTGAAACTAGTAGTTGCGATGTTGAGGACTTAGATATTAGGGATAAAAGTAAAAGTAGTAACAGATGTACTGCTGTGGGTCTATAGGATCAGTAGATTGAAATCAGACCTGATAAAGTCTATAGGATCAGCAGATTGAAATCAGACCTGACAGAGTATTTTACAGATGTACTGCTATGGGTCTATAGGATCAGCAGATTGAAATCAGACCTGACAGAGTATTTTACAGATGTACTCTTGTCAGGTCTATAGGATCAGCAGATTGAAATTAGACCTGACAAGAGTATTTTACAGGTGTACTGCTGTGGGTCTATAGGATCAGCAGATTGAAATTAGACCTGACAGAGTATTTTACAGGTGTACTGCTGTGGGTCTATAGGATCAGCAGATTGAAATTAGACCTGACAGAGTATTTTACAGGTGTACTGCTGTGGGTCTATAGGATCAGCAGATTGAAATTAGACCTGACAGAGTATTTTACAGGTGTACTGCTGTGGGTCTATAGGATCAGCAGATTGAAATTAGACCTGACAAGAGTATTTTACAGGTGTACTGCTGTGGGTCTATAGGATCAGCAGATTGAAATTAGACCTGACAGAGTATTTTACAGGTGTACTGCTGTGGGTCTATAGGATCAGCAGATTGAAATTAGACCTGACAAGAGTATTTTACAGGTGTACTGCTGTGGGTCTATAGGATCAGCAGATTGAAATTAGACCTGACAGAGTATTTTACAGGTGTACTGCTGTGGGTCTATAGGATCAGCAGATTGAAATTAGACCTGACAAGAGTATTTTACAGGTGTACTGCTGTGGGTCTATAGGATCAGCAGATTGAAATTAGACCTGACAAGAGTATTTTACAGGTGTACTGCTGTGGGTCTATAGGATCAGCAGATTGAAATTAGACCTGACAAGAGTATTTTACAGGTGTACTGCTGTGGGTCTATAGGATCAGCAGATTGAAATTAGACCTGACAAGAGTATTTTACAGGTGTACTGCTGTGGGTCTATAGGATCAGCAGATTGAAATTAGACCTGACAAGAGTATTTTACAGGTGTACTGCTGTGGGTCTATAGGATCAGCAGATTGAAATTAGACCTGACAAGAGTATTTTACAGGTGTACTGCTGTGGGTCTATAGGATCAGCAGATTGAAATTAGACCTGACAAGAGTATTTTACAGGTGTACTGCTGTGGGTCTATAGGATCAGCAGATTGAAATTAGACCTGACAAGAGTATTTTACAGGTGTACTGCTGTGGGTCTATAGGATCAGCAGATTGAAATTAGACCTGACAAGAGTATTTTACAGGTGTACTGCTGTGGGTCTATAGGATCAGCAGATTGAAATTAGACCTGACAAGAGTATTTTACAGGTGTACTGCTGTGGGTCTATAGGATCAGCAGATTGAAATTAGACCTGACAAGAGTATTTTACAGGTGTACTGCTGTGGGTCTATAGGATCAGCAGATTGAAATTAGACCTGACAAGAGTATTTTACAGGTGTACTGCTGTGGGTCTATAGGATCAGCAGATTGAAATTAGACCTGACAAGAGTATTTTACAGGTGTACTGCTGTGGGTCTATAGGATCAGCAGATTGAAATTAGACCTGACAAGAGTATTTTACAGGTGTACTGCTGTGGGTCTATAGGATCAGCAGATTGAAATTAGACCTGACAAGAGTATTTTACAGGTGTACTGCTGTGGGTCTATAGGATCAGCAGATTGAAATTAGACCTGACAAGAGTATTTTACAGGTGTACTGCTGTGGGTCTATAGGATCAGCAGATTGAAATTAGACCTGACAAGAGTATTTTACAGGTGTACTGCTGTGGGTCTATAGGATCAGCAGATTGAAATTAGACCTGACAAGAGTATTTTACAGGTGTACTGCTGTGGGTCTATAGGATCAGCAGATTGAAATTAGACCTGACAAGAGTATTTTACAGGTGTACTGCTGTGGGTCTATAGGATCAGCAGATTGAAATTAGACCTGACAAGAGTATTTTACAGGTGTACTGCTGTGGGTCTATAGGATAACAGATTGAAATCAGACCTGACCTGATTGTACAGGTGTTTTTACTGGCGTTATTGATCTGTACCTGTTGTGGCTGCTGGTCATCATTAATGATTACAATAAAAGGGTGTGGGTAGTAAGGATGTCCTGTTTGTGAGGGAGTCTAGGTTACATCCACTCAGACAATGATGGGATGTCGTGTACCGGAACCATTGTCACATCAATATTTAATCCACTCCAATGTGGAGGTTTCTACTTTTATCTATACTTACCTGTACTCACCTATAATTATCTTCTATCATCAATAATTCAACTCACATATACTTACAGTGTTTACATATATTCAACTCAATTCATTTCTTTCATGAACATTTCTTAGCTTTAACAGTATAAGAATGAAAGAGTAAACAATATAAGAATGATGTGAAAGGCTCAAATTTATATTAAAAATAATATACCGCTTTATCACATCCTAGTTTGTAGGTTGTCTCAAAGCGGTTCACAAATTATTATCCGTGGTTATAGGGCCTTTGCAACCAGCCAATACCTTTCGCAACTCTCCGGTGCTGCCATTTCGGTGCTCACAGCTAGCATTCTACAATCCTAGCACTACCCAACCACATACTCATTTACAGCTGAATTGACTGGAACAAGCGGAGTAAAGTATCTTGCTCAAAGATACAACACAGTGCCGTGACGAGATTCAAACTCGCAACCCTTCGGTCACGAGCCCGGTGTCCTACCACTAGACTACCTTGCCTCCTTATTAAGCATTGAGTAACATCATTTCTTGAATTTTCTTGTTTAAAGCAAAAGCCTACTATATGTGCAAGGTTGATGTGATAGGCATACATGTACATATATTTTATTTATAATTGTCGACCATTATGGAGGTAGACATAAAAAATATTTAACCGAAAGAAAATATTTGTCATAAGCTGGATGGACTACAGGTATAAATGGCTTTATAGAGACTTGTATATACCCAATAGAAGAACACCTTTACATTTGACTACCATTCATATATATATTGAAACCTGTTGGACCTGAGAGATGCAATGCTGTGTTTTGCTGTACACTAAAAGAAATTGATACTTTGGATTAGAGATTGCTGTGGTTGGGGACCTTTAGAGAGCAGAATCAACATTGGAGCTATCAATATCAGTCTGACACCTACCTTTTTTCCAGTAACTAACCTAATTAGTCCAGTAAAAGATATTGAATCACTAATATCATTATCACCAGTACACCAATCCTTCTTTAGTGTCTGTCCTGTCCAACAAAGGGCAGATACTCATTAATATCATTATCACCAGTACACCAAACCTTCTCTAGTGTCTGTCCTGTCCAACAAAGGGCAGATAATCACTAATATCAATATCACCAGTACACCAAACCTTCTCTAGTGTCTGTCCTGTACAAAAAAAAAGGGCAGATAATCACTAACATCATTATCACCAGTACACCAAACCTTCTCTAGTGTCTGTCCTGTACAAAAAAAAAGGGCAGATAATCACTAATATCATTATTACCAGTACACCAATCCTTCTCTCGTGTCTGTCCTGTACAACAAAGGGCAGATAATCACGAACATCATTATCACCAGTACACCAAACCTTCTCTAGTGTCTGTCCTGTCCAACAAAGGGCAGATAATCACTAATATCAATATCACCAGTACACCAAACCTTCTCTAGTGTCTGTCCTGTACAAAAAAAAAGGGCAGATAATCACTAACATCATTATCACCAGTACACCAAACCTTCTCTAGTGTCTGTCCTGTACAACAAAGGGCAGAAAATCACTAATATCAATATCACCAGTACACCAAACCTTCTCTAGTGTCTGTCCTGTACAACAAAGGGCAGATAATCACTAATATCAATATCACCAGTACACCAATCCTTCTCTAGTGTCTGTCCTGTCCAACAAAGGGCAGATAATCATTAACATCATTATCACCAGTACACCAATCCTTCTCTAGTGTCTGTCCTGTCCAACAAAGGGCAGATATAATCACAAACATTATTATCACCAGTACACCAATCCTTCTCTAGTGTCTGTCCTGTCCATCAAAGGGCAGATACTCACTAATATCATTATCACCAGTACACCAATCCTTCTCTAGTGTCTGTCCTGTCCATCAAAGGGCAGATAATCACTAACATCATTATCACCAGTACACCAATCCTTCTCTAGTGTCTTTCCTGTCCATCAAAGGGCAGATAATCACTAATATCAATATCACCAGTACACCAATCCTTCTCTAGTGTCTTTCCTGTCCATCAAAGGGCAGATAATCACTAATATAATTATCACCAATCCACCAATCCACATCAATTCTTCTCTTGTGTTTGTCCTGATTAATCCAACAAAGGGCAGGTAATCACTTCTTCTTGAGACTTTTAACTGGAACAACATTAGCCCACTAGATATGTGATCACATCATCTCCTTCCTCTCTAAGGATTTAATTTCAACTCGGTTGCATTTAAAAGAAACTTTTTCATGTTGAAGTGCTCATTTAGCTAATGATACATATTTGTCACTTTATATATGTATAGTAAATGATTAGTATTGAGGAAGCATGCCAGATGTTAAGTTAGAGTGTATTTGTATTGCTTGACTTGACTTGAGAGAATTAATTGTTTACCTACAGAATGAAGAGGATAAGGACCTGGACCACTGTGAGAACTATGCTGACCCCCAGCATGAACGTTGTCCTCAGGATCCTGAGTGTGCCTTCTGTATGGAAAAACGGGACACCCGCATGCCTGGCTGTGTCCACCGTAGCCGACTAGATGTGAGTTTATCTGACAGACATCTTATCTAGATGATCCTGATAAATGTATTGGTGAGATTTTGAACTGGTTATAAAGTCTATAACCAGTGTTATATATTAGCTTAGTGTACAGATCCTAGACAAACCAACATCTGCAACTGTTCTTTTCTAACATTCAGTTTATGTTTCCTAATATTTTGTAGAAATGTGCGGATGCCAGGCATGCCAAGAAGTACAACTGTTCCGGGCTGTGTCACGCTCTTCACACCTGTCAGTCTTGTCTGACCCACGGGCATAAGGTCACACTCAACAAAAAGTCACCCAGACATCGCTTTTACCAACACGATTGTGTGTGGTGTGTCAGAAACTCAACATGTTCACCTAAGTCAGGTAAACACTTACTCTCATTGAACAGAAACTCAACATGTTCACCTAAGTCAGGTAATCACTTACTCTCATTGAACAGAAACTCAACATGTTCACCTAAGTCAGGTAAACACTCACTCTCATTGAACAGAAACTCAACATGTTCCCCTAAGTCAGGTAAACACTTACTCTCATCGAACAGAAACTCAACATGTTCACCAAAGTCAGGTAAACACTTACTGTCATTGAACACATCTTCTCTTACCTATCAGAGGATACAATATTTCATATCATCGTTAGACCAGTCATCTTTATAAATTACAATTCAGTTATTCTCAATAAACACTCCAGTAGAGTAGATGTTAGAGGTCATGTATTTTCCAAAGATTAACACTGTCTTCACCACACCCATGGTGGGAAAACTGTTACTAAAGCAGCCCACCTTTGCTAATTTTGTAAGAAAGTATTTCCAAACAGATGTAGTAGGCCTGAGATACAAATAATGAACATTTTGTAACCCACAATTAATGCGTTAAAGTGACTCTTCTTACACGATAAAAGCATTGCACAACGATATGGAAAGTGCAGGTAAGAAATAGTGCTGTAGTATTTTGACACTGAATTTGTAGTAACAACAGGGATAGATCAAGTCAATGACACAGAATATGTTATGCACTATGTATACATATCACAATAAGTTATTAAATTAGGTATTGTAAATTTAATGACAAAAACCTCTTTTAATTAAGATTTAGAAGAACATTTAAAATGAGGTTATCCCCCTTTCACTAGCTGAGGGGCTTGTGTTAGCTTGGTTGCATCAGGCACAAAATGTGAGAAGTTTCAAAAAAGGGCATGTTTGATTTAGATTGATATATACAATATATATATATTCATATTATTTGTGCATGAGTGAGATTTTAATCGGCCTTGTTTATACATGTCTACAGATAGCGCCTGTTTATACATTTCTACAGATAGCACTTGTTTATACATGTCTACAGATAGCGCCTGTTTATACACGTCTACAGATAGCGCCTGTTTATACATGTCTACATATAGCGCCTGTTTATACATGTCTACAGATAGTGCCTGTTTATACATGTCTACATATAGTGCCTGTTTACACATGTCTACAGATAGTGTGTCTACAGATAGTACCTGTTTATACATGTCTACAGGAAGTGCTTGTTTAAACATGTCTACAGAGAGTGCCTGTTTATACAGGTGTACAGATAGTGCTTGTTTATACATGTCTTCAAATAGTGCCTGTTTATACATGTCTTCAAATAGTGCTTGTTTATACATGTCTACAGATAGCACCTGTTTATACATGTTTACAGATAGTGCCTGTTTATACATGTCTACAGATAGTGCCTGTTTATACATGTCTACAGATAGCACTTGCTTATACATGTCTACAGATAGTGCTTGCAGTAGCTCACTCAGTTCATACATATCTGGAATCACTGGCTGGTGGAATGGCTCCAACACAAAATGGGAGGATGTTGACCAGTGTTCACTTGATGAGATTCCAGCAGGCATTCAGATGGTCACTCACTACAACCCCTCAAATAGTGAACAGCCAGATGAGGTTTGTGTTACTTTTCATCAGTAAGTCTGACAAACATTGCCAGAAAGCTCTGTAATCTGTTGGTGTGACTTATACTTGAGGTGGATATTGTATAGTTTGTCCATGTTGTTATGTTACTGTTATAGGAGGGCAATCAAAAGGGTGCCAGTAGGGTGTAATGTATAGTATGTGTATACCAGGGCCAGTAGGGTGTAATGTAAATTCTGTATACCAGGGCCAGTATGGTGTTATGTATAGTTTGTGTATACCAGGGCCAGTAGGGTGTAATGTAAATTCTGTATACCAGGGCCAGTATGGTGTTATGTATAGTCTGTGTATACCAGGGCCAGTAGGGTGTAATGTAAAGTATGTGTATACCAGGGCCAGTAGGGTGTAATGTATAGTCTGTGTATACCAGGGCCAGTAGGGTGTAATGTAAAGTATGTGTATACCAGGGCCAGTAGGGTGTAATGTATAGTCTGTGTATACCAGGGCCAGTAGGGTGTAATGTAAAGTATGTGTATACCAGGGCCAGTAGGGTGTAATGTATAGTCTGTGTATACCAGGGCCAGTAGGGTGTAATGTAAAGTATGTGTATACCAGGGCCAGTAGGGTGTAATGTAAATTCTGTATACCAGGGCCAGTAGGGTGTAATGTATAGTATGTGTATACCAGGGCCAGTAGGGTGTAATGTAAATTCTGAATACCAGGACCAGTATGGTGTTATGTATAGTCTGTGTATACCAGGGCCAGTAGGGTGTAATGTATAGTATGTGTATACCAGGGCCAGTAGGGTGTAATGTAAATTCTGAATACCAGGACCAGTATGGTGTTATGTATAGTCTGTGTATACCAGGGCCAGTAGGGTGTAATGTATAGTATGTGTATACCAGGGCCAGTAGGGTGTAATGTAAATTCTGAATACCAGGACCAGTATGGTGTTATGTATAGTCTGTGTATACCAGGGCCAGTAGGGTGTAATGTATAGTATGTGTATACCAGGGCCAGTAGGGTGTAATGTAAATTCTGTATACCAGGGCCAGTATGGTGTAATGTATAGTCTGTGTACCAGGAATCTGTTTCCTAGTCAGAGATATACCTGGTAACATTGATATTGACCTAGTGTTAAAATTACCCTCCACATGTTATAACTATATACATGTATTGTAATTCACCCCCCACATGTTATAACTATATACATGTATTGTAATTCACCCTTCACCTGTTATAACTAGATACATGTGTTGTAATTCATCCCCCACCTGATATAACTAGATACATGTGTTGTAATTCACCCTCCACCATGTTATAACTATATGCATGTATTGTAATTCCCCCTTCACCTGTTATAACTCTATACATGGATTGTAATTCTCCCTTCACCTGATATAACTAGATACATGTGTTGTAATTCACCCTCGACATGTTATAACTATATGCATGTATTGTAATTCACTCTTCACCTGATATAACTAGATACATGTGTTGTAATTCACCCCCCACCTGTTATAACTATGTAAATGTATTGTAATTCACCCTTCACCTGATATAACTATATACATGGATTGTAATTCACCCTCCACATGTTATAACTATATACATGTATTGTTATTCACCCTCCACATGTTATAACTACATACATGGATTGTAATTCACCCTTCACCTGTTATAACTATGTAAATGTATTGTAATTCACCCTCCACCATGTTATAACTATATACATGTATTGTAATTCACCCTTCACCATGTTATAACTATATACATGTATTGTAATTCACCCTTCACCTGATATAACTATATACATGTATTGTAATTCACCCCCACCTGATATAACTATATACATGTATTGTAATTCACCCTTCACCTGATATAACTATATACATGTATTGTAATTCACCCTTCACCTGATATAACTATATACATGTATTGTAATTCACCCCCACCTGATATAACTATATACATGTATTGTAATTCACCCTTCACCTGATATAACTATATACATGTATTGTAATTCACCCTTCACCTGATATAACTATATACATGTATTGTAATTCACCCCCACCTGATATAACTATATACATGTATTGTAATTCACCCTTCACCTGATATAACTATATACATGTATTGTAATTCACCCTTCACCTGATATAACTATATACATGTATTGTAATTCACCCCCACCTGATATAACTATATACATGTATTGTAATTCACCCTTCACCTGATATAACTATATACATGTATTGTAATTCACCCCCACCTGATATAACTATATACATGTATTGTAATTCACCCTTCACCTGATATAACTATATACATGTATTGTAATTCACCCTTCACCTGATATAACTATATACATGTATTGTATACTGCCTACTTATATTCCCTGTAATGATGAATTCACCATCATTGTGAAGGGCAAAAAAGGCAAATGTTGAAATTAAATTTTGGAAATAAAATATGATATTTATTATGAATATAATACGACTTCACACTCTGGTAAACACGTAGGTTATGAACCACTGTCACGATCCCTCCATGAATGTGTCTTCTTTACACCACTGATTGTATAGGTGAAGCTCCTATACTCTGTGAATATGTTTTTCATTACACCACTGTTTGTGTAGGTGAAGATCCTACATTCCACGGAGGAGTTGTTGGACTATGAGGTGTACAAGGGTAAGACAGATGGCCATCTACAAATGATCCTGAAAGGCTTCATCCACCCTCTGTCTGCCACACCCATCTACGGCACAGACAAGCTCCGTGTGTTCCTCATCACCTCCGGTCTCCCTACCGTCCTCCGTCTCAGCAATGACAGTACCCTGGAAAAACTGGTAAGTAAGGCATTATACAGCTTGTTGTTTGATGTTCAACAATATCTTACACTTACAATTTTGTGTTTTACCTTCCATTGAAATTGGCTTCTGCAATGTTGCAAGTACTACATATTACTATTTTATAGTTAATAATTATTAACTTACTGATGGATTGACTTGCAGGAAGTTGTTGCCATGATCAACAAGACAAACTCTCCTGGTGCCCGCAGTGTCGAATCCGTCAGGAATGGAAGTAGACCACTTTTTCCCAACACAGTGCGGGGTTACAAGTATCTTTTCACCATCAGTGGCATGAGTGACATGAATGAGAAACAGAACTCCACCGTGTCCCTAGAGTGGAATATAGCTAGCCCTAAGATTGTGAGAGGTAAACAGGTGCGTCCCTTCACTTTAGAGTTCCTGGAACAATATCACTCACCCCATTGTAGTCGCCACCACAACTGCCTGGCCTGTATGTCCAATGCTGAATGTGGCTGGTGCCCCTACACAGACACCTGCGACCACAAGGGCAGTAACTCAAGCTTATCCTCTTGTGTGGGCCCAGATCCCCAGGCCTATCTGATAACCCAGCCTGTGGACTGTGTGCAGTGCTCTGACTACGTGGACTGTCACACCTGTGCTTCGGTAAGGGTAACATGAACTCAAAAAACCAAAAGTCACCTGCTGTGACCTGACAGAATGTCATATGATCTAATCTAAGGAAATGAAGGCTTATCTGATCAATTGCTGATTCAAATGTATAATTTATCTTCATATGTAGAATTTCTGTATCCCTCTATATAACTAGGATGTATTCAGTTTATACAGAATTGCTGAGTGCTGATTGTGTGTTGTAGGACGAGCTTTGTGAGTGGATCACCAAAGATGTTAGATGTACAAGGAGGTGGAGAGTTCACACCATGATTAAGGACCCCGTCAACTGTCCTGTCGCTTGTCACAGGTAAGTCACCCTACCAACTATTCTGTCGCATGTCACAGGTAAGTCACCCTACCAACTATACTGTCATATATCACAGGTAAGTCACCCTACCAACTATACTGTCATATGTCACAGGTAAGTCACCCTAACAACTATACTGTCATATATCACAGGTAAGTCACCCTACCAACTATACTATCATATATCACAGGTAAGTCACCAAACCAACTATACTGTCATATATCACAGTTAAGTCACCAAACCAACTATACTATCATATATCACAGGTAAGTCACCCTACCAACTATACTGTCATATATCACAGGTAAGTCACCCTACCAATGCGAGCGTGTTGCCATTTCTTAGAGTTAAACCACCCTGCCATCTGTCCTGTCGCATGTCACAGGTAAGTCACCCAACCAACTGTCCTGTTGCATGTCACAGGTAAGTCACCCAACCAACTATACTGTCATATATCACAGCGACATTATTTGTAAGTCCGACTATCCAATCGTATGTCACAGGTAAATCATCCAACCAGTTGGCATTCAAATACTGTCACTCCACTTTTTCATGCTGCTGTAATTCTATCAGTGGGTCACACAACTGTTGTATTCACTGCTCTACTGCTGTAGGTATATCTGTGAGTCACCCAATGTTGTATTCACTGCTTTGCTGCTGTAGGTATATCTGTGAGTCACACAACTGTTGTATTCACTGTTCTACTGCTGTAGGTATATCTGTGAGTCACACACCTGTTGTATTCACTGCTCTACTGCTGTAGGTATATCTGTGAGTCACACACCTGTTGTATTCACTGTTCTACTGCTTTAGGTATATCTGTGAGTCACACAACTGTTGTATTCACTGCTCTACTGCTGTAGGTATATCTGTGAGTCACACAACTGTTGTATTCACTGCTCTACTGCTGTAGGTATATCTGTGAGTCACACAACTGTTGTATTCACTGCTCTACTGCTGTAGGTATATCTGTGAGTCACACAACTGTTGTATTCACTGCTCTACTGCTGTAGGTATATCTGTGAGTCACACAACTGTTGTATTCACTGCTCTACTGCTGTAGGTATATCTGTGAGTCACACAACTGTTGTATTCACTGCTCTACTGCTGTAGGTATATCTGTGAGTCACACAACTGTTGTATTCACTGCTCTACTGCTGTAGGTATATCTGTGAGTCACACAACTGTTGTATTCACTGCTCTACTGCTGTAGGTATATCTGTGAGTCACACAACTGTTGTATTCACTGCTCTACTGCTGTAGGTATATCTGTGAGTCACACAACTGTTGTATTCACTGCTCTACTGCTGTAGGTATATCTGTGAGTCACACAACTGTTGTATTCACTGCTCTACTGCTGTAGGTATATCTGTGAGTCACACAACTGTTGTATTCACTGCTCTACTGCTGTAGGTATATCTGTGAGTCACACAACTGTTGTATTCACTGCTCTACTGCTGTAGGTATATCTGTGAGTCACACAACTGTTGTATTCACTGCTCTACTGCTGTAGGTATATCTGTGAGTCACACAACTGTTGTATTCACTGCTCTACTGCTGTAGGTATATCTGTGAGTCACACAACTGTTGTATTCACTGCTTTGCTGCTGTAGGTATATCTGTGAGTCATATTTTCATTGCTTTGCTGCTTAGGTTATATCTGTAGATCACAAAACTGTTGTATTCATCGCTATACTGCTGTATTTTCACAGGCGGATGTCGTGCACCTCCTGTATATCGCCCAACAGTGAGTGTTTTTGGTGTGAAAACACAGAGACATGTCTGCCATTTGCCCACTACATCTCACGCTTTGTCAACGGTCAGTGTCGCGAGTGGATGGACAGTGAGGGGATTGAATCCTACAGCTGTAAGAACTGCTCGTCCCATTCAGTGTGTGAGTCCTGTCTGGCCATGTATGGGTGTGGCTGGTGTAGTGATCCGGATAATCCCTCCATAGGGCGCTGTGTCGACGGAGACTTCGCAGGTATGCTTAGTTTCTAATTCCATTAACATGATCTTTAAATTAGGTTCCTCTGACAGCAGTCAAGATTGAAATAGTTTAATGCAAAGCAATATAGTCAGAATTTTTTCTGGCATGACTATTTAAAGTAACCTATGTTAATGTTCTGAAACAAGATATTTTTAAGTATTGAAGACTGCAACATGACTATACAAATGTTATTTTTCTGCCATTAGGACCGTATCATGGACAGAACTGTTCGGTCATTATACATGATATTCAGAACAGGACAGAGGTGCTGTCTGCTGATTGGTCGTATCAGCGTTGTCCTGACGTTAACGAGTGTATACTTGGCTTCCACGACTGCCATGAGAATGCCACTTGTGAAAACATCCACAGCAGCTACCTGTGTCACTGTAACCGCGGCTTCAAAGGGGATGGTCGACACTGTGTGAAAACGTATGATTACATGGCTGAGGTGAAATCCCTCACACACTGAAACTGTAACTTACTACACATACTTCTATAGCTGTCAAAATCAAATAGTGTACAACCAAATGTTTGTGGAGTTGTATTGGTATTTTGTGAAATGTGTTTGGGTTTGAACATGTAGAAAATAAAAAAATAAAAGTTTTTACAGATGCTGCTCCTTTTCTAAAGTTGACATTATTTAATTAATGATGATTGAAATGTCTTACCCTTTCTCCGACTTGTTGTGTGTATTTAAAATAAATAGATACAATTGAGTTGTCTCTCCTCTGTCCCGATTTTCTGAATGTATTTTAACAACTTGTTATTATAGAGTTGTCTCACCCTTTCTCCTGTTAAATGTTTACAGGTGTCACTATACATGTGTACACGGGAACTGCTCTGAGGTGCCGGACTACGAGTGTCGCTGTAGACTTGGCTACACAGGGCCTGATTGTAACACGAGCTGTCAGTGTAATCATCGCAGTACCTGTAGTAAGGGGGTCGGACTGTGTGATGAATGTCAACATAACACCACTGGACTTCACTGTGAGAAGTGTGTCCTGGGCTTCCACGGCGATCCAGCTAACCTCATGGGTGTGTAATATAAAATGTTTGGACACACTGTCAAGCTTTGTTAGATGGAAGGTTTGACCTTCACAAAGAACCAGTTATATCAAGTTTTTTCATTGGTTTTATTTGGTTTCAAACTTTCCTTTTCATTTCTTCCTGAACATGTATGAAAGAAATTAATCAATGTGTTTTCTGCTTTGATGGTGTTACCCATGTTATCCTTTATCAAACAAAATTCAGAATCTGTTTTCAGTGTTTGTTGCAAAGATTTCTGTATGATTCCTATATGTCACTGGACTAACATGTCTGTTGACATCATTGTGTAACCTTTGTGTGTTGTGTTTTCAGGCTGTGAGCCTTGTGAGTGTAACGGCCATGGTGATGAGGAGTTAGGCCTGTGTTCTGCTACTGGTCACTGCTACTGTGTGGACCACACCACTGGCGATCACTGCCAAGTCTGTGAGGAAGGGCACTACGGCAAACCAATGTAAGTCTGGCTATATAGAGTGAAAATCTTTATAAAACAAGATGTAAGTCTCTGTCTTTATAAGACACGATTCACATCTTTATAGGACCAAGCATACTTTTTAGATCTCATTGTTAGTGTTTTTAGATCTTGGTATTATGTGTTACATTCTGTGTTTTTTATATTTTAAGAGATGACCTGCTAGTCAGACACATTATCAGTTAAGATAGTGTTAAGCAACATGATGTAAGTAAGTGATGTTACATTTTACAGAAATGGAGGTCGATGTTACCGGTCCTGTGACACTCCCACAGTTCTTAACAGCACCAGTGGGTACATTGGGTCGTACAAAGGTACAGGAGTGAGGGATTGGCACGCCTACTGTATCTGGATCATAGCCCCCCTCAGTGGAGAGGAACTGGAGCCTGTCCGTGGGGACTCGCAGTACGACACACCTCCCATCAATATCACCATAGAGGACATCGATACAGATTGTGGCTGGGTAAGGTCATTGAAACAGGCTTCCCTTCAATAAGATTCATCAGTTTGGAAATATGTGATATCAAAGTTTTACTTTTTACACAAACAACATACACTTTAAACGTGTCACGTTTCAAGACTGACTGGTCCCTCTGTCAAGCTATGACTGAGTGAGTGATTTGCATTTTTAGCCCACCATCATCTGATGGCAGCCATCTTGGATTTTGATAGTGAAAGTTTGTTATCGCTATTTCTAAAGAAGTACCAGAGGGATCTTTCTCAAATTTTATATGTAGGTTCCCCTTGGTCCCTCGTTGTGCATGTTATATTTTGAGACTGATCATAAAAACAAAATGGATTTAAAAAAGAACTTAACAGATCTATCTCATATTGCAATGATCGATTCTATTTCTTTCACATTGAGTACTGTACTAGTAAATATGTGAAATGACAAACTCACTTTGAAGGTTGGCTTTCACACACATCAGTATTAAGGTTAGATCAAAAGTTACCTCAGGTGCATTTACTGTTAACATGACTCGATCAAACAGATTAGAGGAAAGAAGAGAAAAGATCAAACTGACAAAGAACTAATGAAGATGGTACAAAGGTGGGCGCCAAGATCCCTTTGGGATCTCTTGTTTACCTGTACAACGATGTGACAAAATTGTATATTTTTCATGTCGCTTGACCGAGACGTTTCACCTATTGATAGGGAGTGTATACACACTGTATCATATAGGTTACAGGTAAGGTGTAGATCTAGCCCCCTCCCCTGTTATGTCATACAGATGACTCAGGTGGTGTCCCCCCTCGTCTCTGTATATGTTCTGAGTTTGGTTTTCAATTCCCGCCATCCACTACACCAAAAGCTTGGAGTTGTACGTACACTCCTCCACAGATGCAACAACATCGTCACAGAGCAGGATGATAGACAGAGGGAAGAACAGCACATAAACCAAAAGCAAAGGCTTGGTCACTATACCCTACGTGAAGGGGACGTCTGAGGCAGTTGCACGGGTGATGAGGAAACACCATTTCAGCACCCCGATGAGACCACTGACAACCTTCAGACAGTTACTGGTGCTATCAAAGACAAGACTGACATTTTAGACAAACCAGGAGTTGTATATCAAATTCCATGCAAAAATTGTCAGCAGTCATATAAGGTGAAAATGGGAGGAAATTTGGTACACGTCTGAAGGAACATCAAAAGGACGTAGAGAATATAAGCAACATCACATTCACCAGATCTACATGCAATACATCTGCCATCCAGTACAATAAATTGGCATTAACAGTATAGCTAACACCCAAAATCACATCGTCGCTTGGGACAATGTCAAGGTAGTTGAAAGGGAACAACACACAAAAATGAGACAAATGAAAGAAGCAATCAAAATCAGGAAAACTCAGAACATGGACAGAGACGAGGGGGGACACCAGCTGAGTCATCTGTATGACCCGATACCGACATAACAGGGAAGGGGGCTAGATCTACACCCTACCTGTAACCTATATGATGCAGTGTGTATACGCTCCCTATCGATTGGCGAAATGTCTCTGGTCGAGTGACATGAAAAATATACAATTTCATCACATCGTTGTACAGGTGAATAATACAAATCGCTCACTCAGTCATAGCTTGACAAAGGGACCAGTCGGTCTTGAAACGTGACACGTTTAATACGTACATTGTTTGTCTAAAAAGTAAAACTTTGATATTCATACAGGCTTGTTTGGGGTTAAGACATTGACACAGATTTTGACTAGGTAATAATTAAATTGGGTTGTTTGGAAAACAATTTTCTATTTGTTCCGTCATTTCTCATTGTCTCTTTTGAATAAAAGGAATTATTTTTCAACACTTGTCTTGGGATGTAAATTGGCCAAAGACAGCTTCTTTGTAAACCCTGATATTGTTTGTTCTTCCTACAGGATTATGTGTATGTGTATGATGGTATACCCGACTTCATCGACGGCAGTGAGGATGCCTGGGGGACACTGCTAGGAGTGTTCTGTGGGAAGACAGCAGGATACTCTGTCCTAGCCAAGTCACGCATCGTTACCATCTACTTTGAAACTGACATCTCCAAACGTAAGTTTTAAATACATGCAAGACTTCAACTTGTATATCTTGTTCTTGGTGACTCTCAACCATCAAGTCAGATGTGACGATCATCACCTGTATCTCTTTGTTTGTGGTAAGGGTGAAGGTCATCACCTGTATCTCTTGTTTGTGGTAAGGGTGAAGGTCATTACCTGTATCTCTTGTTTGTGGTAAGGGTGAAGGTCATCACCTGTATCTATTGTTAGTAGTAATGTGAAGGTCATCACCTGTATCTCTTGTTTGTGGTAAGAGTGAAGGTCATCACCTGTATCTCTTGTTTGTAGTAAGGTGAAGGTCATCACCTGTATCTCTTGTTTGTGGTAAGGGTGAAGGTCATCACCTGTATCTCTTGTTAGTAGTAAGGTGAAGGTCATCACCTGTATCTCTTGTTTGTGGTAAGGGTAAAGGTCATCACCTGTATCTCCTGTTTGTGGTTAGGGTGAAGGTCATCACCTGTATCTCTTGTTTGTGGTAAGGATGAAGGTCATTACCTGTATCTCTTGTTTGTAGTGAGGTGAAGGTCATCACCTGTATCTCTTCTTCGTGTTAAGGGATACATTGACTCTTAACCATGGAATTGAATAGGAACGTTACAAACAGATAGCTTTTCAGTCTGATGCTTGTGTGAATAATAATTCAGATTTCATTTTAATTTCACAACACAATTATTAGGTATTAAATTCTTAACTTTTTGAAGCACTTGAAGATATTGTAAAGGTCTCAGATAAATGGTTGGATGATTAAGTGGGGTATATGTTTCAGTATGTGGTGTATAAAGTTTGCTTACACATGCCAGTAACATAGCTGATGTATTGTATTTATCTTGTGTTCGTACAGTTGTGATGTGTACACTGATGCACCAGTATTGATATAACCTTATATATCGGATTATAGACATGCATGTTTTGAACTGGTTTGATAAACATTTACCTTGTAGATCAATACTTGTTTTGTACCCATAGTGCACTACTGCCTACTAATGATTTGTGTCAAATTAACATCTCAGTTCCACAGTAGTCCAACTTGTATGATGAGAACAAGGGTTTGCCTTTTGTTCATTGTAATTTGTGTTCAATATTTTATGTCATTGTCTCATCGTAAGTAACATTAAAGGCCTGCTGTGGTAAGGTTTAATGATATCTGTGTTTGAGCTGAGTTTAGAGGTAATTAACTGTGATACGTGCAGGAACACTGGAGGTCATTTGAGAAGACATTGCCTTAATGACATCATATGTAAATTTGGGGATCAGTTGTCAAGTTGGTGCCTTAGTGACATCATATGTAAATTTTGGGATCAGTTGTCAAGTCACATCGTTTGTGATGTCAGAAGTTACGTTGGGAGATAAGTTGAAAAGTCATTACCTTAGTGACATCCAAATTAACAGTGTCCATTGTTAGATCTGTATTGTTACTTGATAAGTATGGCTAATGGTTTTGTTTGACATTTGTAGTGAGGTCAAATGACATATGTAGATGCAGGTCAGGTGATGTTTGTAATGAGGTCAGATGATGTTTGTATAAGTGTTGTCAGTGTTTAGGATAAGGCCTGGATATGTGTCAGGCTGGAGATCCCTACTCATACAGACATCACTCAAGTGTTGTCAGTGCACGGCTGTGTTTAGGATAAGGCCTGGAAATGTGTCTGGCTGGAGATCCCTAATCATGCAGACATCACTCAAGTGTTGTCAGTGCACGGCTGTGTTTAGGATTAGGCCTGGGTATGGGTCTGGCTGGAGATCCCTACTCATACAGACATCACTCAAGTGTTGTCGGTGCACGGCTGTGTTTAGGATAAGGCCTGGGTATGTGTCTGGCTGGAGATGCCTATTCATACAGACATCACTTAAGTGTTGAATTGAAATGTTTATAATCTTTACTTACTTGTTTTTCCACATCATTCCTAACTACCATTTCCAAATAAGCCATGTTTCTTCCTTTCTTCCCCTTATCTCAACATTTGTTTAAGTCCTTCCGACTGTTATCACACAGCACAACTCTTTATTGGGGATGTGGGGGCGTTATTGTCCTTCCATCAGTCCTCTTTATTAGGGCCCTGCATTGGGGATGTGGGGGTGTTATTGTCCTCCATCAGTCCTCTTTATTAGAGCCCTGCATTGGGGATGTGGGGGCGTTATTGTCCCTCCATCAGTCCTCTTTATTAGGGCCATGCATTGGGGATGTGTGGGTGTTATTGTCCTTCCATCAGTCCTCTTATTAGGGCCCTGCATTGGGGATGTGGGGGCGTTATTGTCCTTCCATCAGTCCTCTTTATTAGGGCCCTGCATTGGGGATGTGGGGGTGTTATTGTCCTCCATCAGTCCTCTTTATTAGAGCCCTGCGTTGGGGATGTGGGGGTGTTATTGTCCTTCCATCAGTCCTCTTTATTAGGGTCCTGCATTGGGGATGTGGGGGTGTTATTGTCCCTCCATCAGTCCTCTTTATTAGGGCCCTGCATTGGGGTTGTGGGGATGTTATTGTCTTTCCATCAGTCCTCTGTATAAGGGCCCTGCATTGGGGATGTGGGGGCATTATTGTCCCTCCATCAGTCCTCTTTATTAGGGCCCTGCATTGGGGATGTGGGGGCGTTATTGTCCTTCCATTAGTCCTCTTTATTAGGGCCCTGCATTGGGAATGAGGGGGCATTATTGTCCTTCCATCAGTCCTCTTTATTAGGGCCCTGCATTGGGGATTTGGGGCCGTTATTGTCTTTCCATCAGTCCTCTTTATTAGGGCCCTGCATTGGGGATGTGGGGGCGTTATTGTCCTCCATCAGTCCTCTTTATTAGGGCCTTGCATTGGGGATGTGGGGGCGTTATTGTCCTTCCATTAGTCCTCTTTATTAGGGCCCTGCATTGGGAATGTGGGGGCATTATTGTCCTTCCATCAGTCCTCTTTATTAGGGCCTTGCATTGGGGATGTGGGGGTGTTATTGTCCTTCCATCAGTCCGTCTGTCCATACCATTGTTTCCAGAGATTAGTCAAGGTCAAAAGACAAGGGGTGGGGAGGGGGTTTGGGAGTTGTGGAGATGGGTTTACAGTCAGGCACATGACCCTTACTGATTTGGCAGTGTTCACATTCCTACTGCTATCTCACAACATGCGTCATCATTCCTACCTTGTGTTATCATACCTCACCCTTCTGTTTTCCTTTCCAGATATGTCCGAGATATTTTTCCTTCCTTCTGTCTATAGTAACTTAGAATTCAACTATCGTAAAGGTAATGTTTTGTGTGTTTTACTTGTTTTATTACAATTTTCGCCTTATGAATGCTTTGTGGCTGTGGCCTTTCAGATTCTATTTTTCTTATTGCATGCAATACAGATGTACGTTGGTAAAGGTAGATGCATTTTGTCAAAATGAAGTAACTTTTGCAGGGTTTTTATACGCCCGTCGAAGACGGGGACGTATTATGTTATCACGCGGGCGGGCGGGCATGCGAACAATGTCCGCTCGATATCTCGAGTAATTATTAACGGATTAACTTCAAACTTCACAACAAGGTTAATTACCATGAAAGCTC